TCTGTCTAAACAACCCAAACATTCTTTGCTTATTTGCAAAATTATTTAGAGCGACAAGCGATTTTTTTTGCGATGAGAATAAATAAGATATATTAGGCAAAATAATTATGCGTAAGATCAAGAATAAATTCTATTTGTAAGCCAATTTTTTAAAACCCAACTTTTCCTAGAGTCCCATCAGTTTTAGGATCAGCAGTTAGTGCTTGCACCTGAACAATTGCAGCATTTGCTTGATTTTGTAGGCGACGAAGATAGCCTATATGAAGCAAGCGAAGGGCAACCGCAGCACGACGCAGCAGGGGATCAGAGACCTCAAATCCCAGAGGAACTTCATCAATATCAAGCGTTTCCCCCTAAATTAGAGTTAAAAACCATTAAAAATCCAAACAAAAGCAAATATTTTTCTCAGGGGTCCGCACGCGGCCCAGGCGCGTTTAAATTTGTATGGCGCATCACAAACATCTAATAGAAAAATAATATTGTGCAAAGCATAATAAATGGAAGCTAATATTAAATATTAGTTAGTCTATATAACGAATCTTGGCCAATGAGTCAGTCCGCAGGGAAAAATACTGACTTGTTCATCTAAGATAATATAATATAAGTTAACTAAATGCTTAATCAAATTATGAAATAAAATGCACAAAGTTCAAGAGATTTAACAATTCTAAGACATATTCGCTAGGTAAATAACTTAATCTATAAATTAACTAAAAAGATCCACGTAAAATTAGAATATTTTGATTCATCACCAAAGCAATAAATAAAATGATCAAATGGCCTTCTGACTGGTGGATTTCTTGTACCAATTTTGTTCGGATTAAAAGCCAAATGCCAGGTGGGATTCAAAGTTACTTTGATATCAAAGATTGATAAAACAGACACTTCAGATATCAATAATGGTAGAAAATGATGCAAATATAATTTTTTTTAATGCAAAATGTGTCATATTGAAGCCTATCGTATAGCATATATATTTGAGTGCATAAGCCTATCAACAAACTTAAGTTGCAGATTATCGGCAAATTAATGTTGATAAAAAATAAGGTTAAGGTCCTAACAGGATCCTGATCCTTTAAGCCAAAATAAAGAGGTCAAATATACCTTAGCCTTTCCGTGTTCCTCTTTAGTTCTTTGAATAGCTTCGCTTGATAAATTATCCTCAATGAAGATGCATATTGACTGCAAAATAATTAAGGTATATTTACCTTAAACATTTCCGTAGCACTTGGGTGTGTTGGTAGGTTAAGCATTGTGGATAAGTCAGAAACGGAGTGGACGAAATCTTCACCATCAACTAATTGGATTTGTGTTAAAAAATCTTATAAGATTTGAGTACCATCTATATTGGAAAAATAATCATCGGAGTCTGCTCCAGCTTGTTTAAGGTTTTCTTTTTGTTCGGGCTTTGAGGCGTCTAAGTAATAAATGAGAATTAAGAAATAATAAACCTTTGGCTGGCTGATCAAGATAAAGCCCTT